CTTGCAAAGTCATTAGCAGAGAAAAAGAAAACAGGTGAAGGGACCAGCAGTTGATGTAATGGCTATGTCGCTGGACTCCCATGTAGTCGACCGTGGTTCGAGTCCCGGACCTGGTGGCTTAAACTCCTGCCGGGGCACGTGTGTGTGTGTGCCCAAGATCCTGAGAGGAGAATGGAGGAGAAGGAATTGCAGCGTGGCCATCCCCCCTAGGAGGGTGATTTCTTGGTTTGTGTCTCTCTGCCTCTGTCTTTCTGGCGAGTACACATGCCCCATAACAAAAATTTCTCCCCCCAAAAAACCAGGTGAAAATAAGAAAATGGAAAAGGGTGAGTCTAATGGGTTGTGAGTGGTGGAGCCACTAAGAGCTGCCTCGACTACAGTGGGCTGGTTCCCTAGCAGAAGACAGGACATTAAATGAGAGAATATTAAAATGCAGCCAAAGGCACATGCAGGGCTTTTAGTCCTATGGGGCTCAGGAAACGGACATAGCAAATTACCGTCCGTCACACTGCAATTTGGGTTCTACCTCAAGCAAACGGCCTAGCTCAGGGCTCCCCGCCTTTGGAGGCAGGCACAAAACTGGCTGATGTCCGTGTTGGGTTTGGTAATGTGGGATTTGTGCCATTCGTGTGATGTGTGATAAGATGCAGGGGATGAAAGCAGTTATTAACACTGATTAACTCCGAGGCTGACCACCAGCGCACACTGCCATTGTTTCCAGCTGCACTCTTTAGCCATGGGCTTTGTCTAGCTGGCTTCGCAGGGACAGATGCCATTATGGGAGATCAGCTAACCTTATTTAGGCAGCGTCAGATAATGGAGACCTCCAGGTATGAGCCTGACCGCATTAGTTTGATTTGTTACCACTGCTCACCTTGTCCCGGCATTCATGCAGACAAAGGCCTGGGATTACCAGGAGCAGAGATAAGCTGTGGGTTAGAGCCTGTGTATTTTGAGGGGAAGATAATTCTATCTTGGGTCTTCATTTCCATTTTCATTTTGTTTGGTTTTCCCCTCAAAGTTAAAGTCTGTTTTTCCTCCCACAAATCTCTCCATATTTTCTCTATGTTACTATCCATTGTAATTACAAACGTTACTGGCTCATTATTTCCTTTAAGGTTAGCCTTTATCCTTTAGTTTTTGGTTTTTTTAAAGAAAGGATTACTTCATTATATATGTATTTTTTTCTTTTCTTTCCTTTTTTTTTTGGAAAGGTTTTTTTGTTTGCTTGGTTGGTTTTGTGTGTGCGTTTTTTTTGTTTTTTGTTTGTTTGTTTGTTTGCTATAGGGTGCGTGCGCTCGCCAGAAAGACAGAGACAGAGACAGAAAGCGAGAAATCACCTCCCAGGGGGGATGGCCACACCGCAATCCCTTCTCCTCCATTCTCCTCTCGGGATCTTGGGCACGCACACACACGCGCCGGGCATGAGTTTAAGCCACCAGGTCTGGGACTTGAACCGCAGTCAGCTACATGGGAGTCCAGTGACATAGCCATTATGCCAACTGGTGGTTTCAATTTTTTTTACTATTGTTTTTTAATTTGACCAGAAAGAGACAGAGAAAGTGGAAAAGCAAGCTGTCAGGTCCAGGACTCCAACCATGGTCAGCCATGGGGGACTCCAGCACCTTAACCACCATGTCTCTTGCCAGTCCCCATATTTTAGGTCTCGGGTCCAGGACTCAAACCGCAATTGGTCATGTGGGAATCCAGCATCTTTAACCACCATGCCACCTGCCGTCCCACAGATGTTTTTATGACACAAAAAAGGATCTATATCTTTTATTGCTAAAGGATGAGATTTGGGGGAGTTTTACACTATTTCTGTACTGGTTAATTGTTTACACTGTGTAAACACCATATTCGGGATTAAAATAATAGCTTACCCATCATGCATGTGACACATTCCCCTACCACCCACTCCCCTACTCCACTTCCAGTACTCCAACTTATATCGTTTTTTAAAAGAATTAATTTTACTCATTCACTTATTTTAATTTGACCAGAGAGGGGAAGTGAGAAAGGAAGCCGCCAGGTCATGGACTTGAATTGCTGTGGGCCCTGTGGGAGTGTCGTGTCTTAACCACCACGCCACCTGCTGGTGCTGGTTTTGTAGGAACATAAGGGACAACGAAGAAAGCTTCTCAGAGATAAATTTTGACTAATATATTTCTTTTTTAAAAATAATTATTTTATTTATTTTTTAATTATCATTATTATTCTTTTTAAAATTTGACAAGAGAGAAAGTGAAGAAGGAAGTTATAAGGTCTGGGACTCGAACTGTGGTCAGCTATGTGGGAGTCCAACACCTTAACCACCACTCCACCTGCCGGTCCCTATATTTCATAAACAGCACTTCACATTTTATATGAATAGAACCGGCTCTTTATAGTGGAAAAGGTGGCCCCGTCTTTCTCTGAACACACGTGATGCCTCTGGTCTTCCCAATGACTGCACGCTCTCCTTCTCTTCCTTCTCCACCTCGGCAGCCGTGAACTGCACTAAGCACAGCTAACTGCTGACCGCTTGTTGGGTCACAGGGCTTTCTACTCCAAAAGTGCTTGTAGTCAATCGTTTTTGTAAAAATCATTATTTAATTTTATTATTATTTTTAAAATATTTAATTCGATTTGTTATTATTTTTTAATTTGACCAGAGAGAGACAGAGGGAAAGGGAAAGTGACAAAGCAAGCCACCAGGTTCGGGACTTGAACTTCAGTCAGCCATGTGGGAATCCAGCACCATTAACCACCACGCCGCCCATCGGCCCCTTATTATTATTTTTTTATAATCATTTTATTTAACTTTATTTATTTATTTATTTAAATTTGATCGGAGAGGGATAGAGTGTGAAAGAGAGAGAGAGAAAGTGAGAAAGCAAGCCACCAGGTCCAAGACTCGGACTACAGTTGGTCACATGGGAGTCCAGCGTGTCAGCTACCATACCACCTGCTGGCCCAGTCAATGATTTCTTCTTTTTGAGAGACTTTTCTTTTAGGGTACATGTGCTTATCAGAGACAGAAAGAGACAGAAAGAGAAAAATCACCCCTCCAGAAGGGATGGCCACACTGCAATCCCTTCTCCTTCATTCTCCTCTCGGGGTCTTGGGCTCACATGCACGTGCACCTGGCATGAGTTTTAAGCTGCTGGGTCCAGGACTTGAACCATGGTCGACTACATGGGAGTCCAGCAATGTAACCATTACACTATTTGCTGGTTTCCAGTCAATGATTTAAAAATCAATTTTTTCAGAACTATTTATTTAATTTTATTTACCATTATTCAATTTGATCAGAGAGAGACAGAGAGAGAGAGGGAGAGAGAGAGAGGGTGAGAAAGCAAGCCACCAGGTGTGGGACTTGAACCGCAGTTAGCTATGTGAGAGTCCAGCACTTTACCCACCATACCACCTGCCAGCCCCCCACCCCCCAGTCAGAGATTTTTTTTTTTTTTTGGGGGGGTTTTTCGCTATAGGGTGCGTGGGCTCGCCGACAGACGGGCACAGGGCTGGCTGCTTGGTTTACATCCCAGACCCAGGAGCTTGAAAAGCATGCTCTGCACATGTGCACACGTACCCAAAGTTCCAGAGGAGGGTGGAGGAGAAGGAATGGAGACGTGGCCATCATCCGAGGTGATTTCTCATTTTCGCTTCCTCTCTCTCTTTCTCCAATGGGTATGTGTGTCATGTGGCAATTATTTATTTATTTTTTGGGGGGAGAGATTTTCACTGTAGGGCGCGTGCGCTCGCCAGACAGACAGAGAGAGACATAGAGACAGAAAGCGAGAAATCACCTCCCAGGGGGGATGGTCACGCCGCAATCCCTTCTCCTCCATTCTCCTCTCGGGATCTTGGGCACGCACGCACACGCGCTCGGCGTGAGTTTTAAGCCACCGGGTCCGGGACACGAACCGCGGTCGACTACGTGGGAGTCCAGCGACATAGCCATTACGCTAACTGCTGGTTCCCCCCAGTGATTTTTAAAAGCTCTAAAATCTGAGTCACACTGAATTTCCTCTGGAAATAATATGCAAACTTCTACTCTTTCGCATATTTAGAAAAAAATCTTAGAAGAAAATATATAGTGGTTATAGATTTGATAATGTAATGGGAATCTTCCACTCTGATCATCACTTGGACAAAGGAAGGACAGTAGAAAAGAAAAAGAAGGGAAAATTTAAACTTAAATAGACAAAGCTGAAATATGGTTTCCAGTGGACAGAATCCACAAGGTAACATAAAAACAAACAAACAAAAAAACAAAAAAACAAACCCACTCACACAGGTCTTCTATTACCTGGAAAATATCCAGATTTCCAGTGGCCAGTACTCGCTTCCTGTCATGCCTCTTAGTCTATTCTCATCTTTAATTGACAGGTACAAGGAGAAAATGGGAAATGAGAAGAAAACACATAGTTTTTGTGGCGTAGAAAGTGCTCTGATCATTTCCACTATGCCAGGGCGCATACAGAAGGCAGATCAGCTCCCCTACCTTCCCAGTCAACTTAATGTAGCAAAACACACAGCTGGCTAGAAATCATTAACTGAAAATAGATATAAGCCAGATGATCATTATCACTTCACCGAACAAGAGTAAAACACTGCATGGTTCGAACTAGAAAACGATTCACAATTTTGCATTCTTTTGTAGCTTCGTTCTTTTGTGCAATGTCACATACCAATGGTATGAATATATGACAGCTGGTGCTCGTATCTCTCTACTTTGGCAAAAGGACTATTTAATAAAAAGAGAGAAAACTTGAAACTGACATGTGGAAAGGATTTGTTTCAGTATGTGGTGAGAAAGTCTCACTGCTTTATGCCATAAGTCAAGTGAAGATTCATGAGTAAGTCATTTTTTAATAATAAAATTAAGTATAATCATGTTTTAAAATGTCCTTGATGGAAACAAATGGAAACAGATCACATCTTTGTTCTTCAGGTTCTTTTACTTGAAGTATTTTATAAAGGGAATCCAGCTTGTGGAGTCACTTAGCCATGAATTTACTGATTTCACCAATCGATTTATCAGATTAAATTCACTCACCTAAAAAATAGCTGGCTGCTCTAGAAATGTTTATTAAAATATATAGTAAGGGACTTTATTATAATTAAAGTGTAGTTAAAAATACATCCCATGCTATAATAGTATTTACAATATATTTTTAAAAGAAACAATACTCAGATTAAATGTAGGAAAGAAAACATCACATTTTTAACACTCGTGATTGCCCTTGAGTCTTCATGTTCTGCAATTAGAAGATACTTTTACACATTGGGTTTCTATCTATTCCAGGAGATTTGTGTTGAAATTTTTTTTCGCCATTAGAAACTGTGATTCTCTATGGGACCTTTTCAGTTTTGCACGTCTATTCTGGAACCAAATCTAAAATTAAGAAAAATAAGATCAGTCTTAGAAATATTATTTTATTACTCTTAACATTTCGACTCTGATGAATAGCAACTAAATTTGAAAATTACCTGGATCCTGTCTTCCTCTAGATTCAATTTTTTAGCTAAATCTTCTCTGATATCAATGCCGGGATAGCAATTTACTCTAAAGACAGTTTCCAATACTTCAATCTAAGGAAAAGAAAATAATTCTTTAAAATGTTGTCGCCTGAAATGGTCTTTAATTTGTATAACAAAACAATGGCATTACAATCTTTGGTAATTAATCTGCATGTCTTTTTAAAAATGATTATCCAGAAACTGTTTCAATATGACAGTCTATTGTTTCATTAGTAAGGCTTCTACACTGAGCTCCCAAAGTGAACAGGCTTTAGCCCCACAAGACCTTAGCGAAGGCGTTTGTATTATTACTGTGCATAAAACTTTTCACCTGGTTTTGAGTGAAAGCGGTTCTTGGTCTTCGGCCTCTATACCAACTCAACTCTCTTTTCAAAGACAGTCTTTCTGAGGCTGAAAAGCAATGTTCATATTGCAAAGCTCTGTCTTCTGGCACTGGGTGATCCACCACGCAAGGGAATGAGATCCCACTGGAGAGATTTGGAACATGCACACAGAGGTTCCCGTCTTTC